CAGCTGTGCTTGCTGTTAATGCATTAGATGTTTCCCAGAACACCCAATGGAAGAAGCTTCCAGGAAAGAGATAAGTGTAGGAAAGATTAAAGACAGTTTCTATAGGCTGTGCTGATGTTCAGGAACGACAGTGAGGGAGCTGATAGATCCACAGTCAGCAGCTGGATTTTACACATGCAGGGCAATTCCCTTTTTAAGAGCTAGAAGATACAGAGGCAATTGGAGCTGAAATATTGGCATGACACCTGGTTACAGCCCATGGCCTTCTTTTCTTTTCTTATGGCTTTGCAATTCTTTTACCAATGAGCTGAATTACCCCTTACTGGTTTCTGAACACAAGCTTTCATTTGGCAAGGCAAAGATCAAGACCTGAAAACATTTCATCAGGAACATGTCCATTCCCAGTTCCAGGAAAAAAAGGGTCAGTGTTTGTCTGTGCTATTGATTGTATTGATTGCGGCACAATTCTTGTTTGCATATATATCCAAATTCTTCCAGATGCTACCACAAATTTCAAGGTGCAGGAATCAATTTAAAATACACTGTCTTTGACTGCATGACAACACAGAGGAAACTCGGACACTTAGCATATCACACAGGGATGAAATTAAGAACTAGGTATTAAACTGGGAGAAGAAAAATGTCCCTGTCAGGAATGCCTTCACAGAAGTGAGCCTTATTGAGTTGCAAAAAGATACTTGAGATTTTCAAAAACTATGTGGCATGCATGATCTTGTTGTGAGGAGGAAATAAAAGAGCAGTTCAAGTGAAATGTTATTTTCCACTTTCCAAATTGATATTTATATTTTCCACTTTCCAAATTTCTATTCCAATCTTAGACAAAAACTATGGGACAAGTGAGCTTGAGAGTACATATCATCACCATAAGGTAAACACATAATGTAAGGTTTCCAAAATTATTCCGAAGCAAGAATTACAAGCCCAGAAAATTGAGTTAATGATTTTTATATGTAGTGATATGCCATGGTTTTTATCATGTGGTTAAGATTAAGCCATGTTGGTCTCCCAAGACCTAAATTAGATTAAATAATTTTAAAGGCAGATTCCTTCCAGCTCTTGAAATAGTGCCTAAGGCACAATGAAAGATGTTTCAATAACACAAATATACCTGTTCATAATTTAATAGAAAAAAACCCCAGAAGTTATACTTAAATTTGTGTTTCTCAGGTTTATTACACTTTGTCCATTTGGCAATTGTAATCTAATGTGCCTCAGAACAGGATTTCAAAGTTATTATTTGCTCTTTCAGTGTCTGTCCCTGTGAGGCTTTAGAATTGTCTGGATTAGCTTGCACACCTTATGATACACATTCATGAGATTTCTGTGAATAATTGCTTTAAGGAAGCCTTGTGTGGATGGATATTGAGAAGAGAGAGCATTCAGAAAAAAAAAAAGACTTGTATTTGTTTTTAAAAATATTTTTTAATATATTTCCTCCATATGTTCAAAAGGTCTGTACAATCTTTAGTGTAACTAGCTTAATCAGAAAACTTTTGGGAAGAAGTTCTTTTCACAGGAGGAAATTAGCTGACTTGGTCAAGATCTGAAATTAAATTTGTTGTAAAAAGAGAACTGAACACAGCTCAAAAAGTTCTGGACTTCATCTCTAGATTTAGTAACTTTAACTTAATGGATTTAAGGATTTTCTTTGTGAGTTAAAGGAAAAACAAATCCGCAAAGTGTTCTAGTGGTCATACATACCACCACATAATATGACACATTCTTAAGTAAAATACAAGAGTAACAATGTGTACCCAGAAAATGCATAACATAGAAGAGGAAATAAAACAATTTTTGACATGTATAAAATAGTGTGTTCTTCCTCTTTTAAGGCACGAAGACTGTGTGATGACTGCAGAATTTTTTAAGACTCTTTTCATAGGGTTTTATAATTCTGTAACTACAGACAATTCTGAAAGCTCACATGAGATTTGTGTTGTAAATATCAAGTCACTTGAGCTCATGCTGCTGAAGATACATTGGCATTAGATGCTCCAGACACTGGCACTGTGAAAATATTCAAAATGATCAATTTGGAGGGCAGGAAAAAACACCATCTACTTTCTCTAAAGTCCAGTCTAGTCAGGGCATAACTTTAAATTTCAAATCAGCTCAGGAATGTTTTCAACCTCTTTATTGCCCAATATTTTACATGAGAGTAAGGGACATGTCCTTCTACACCTCATAAATTTGACATACTGTAGTTTGAAATCTCATTAGCCTTCAGATGCAGCTTACAAACATTAAAGATCTTATGGACATGTTTTGATACTGTTACTATCAACCAGTGCTATTTTTGCAAGCATGTGTTTTGTATTTGTCCTTTCCATGAACTCTCAATTTTGTTTAGCAGCAATATTAAACTATTTTACTATAAATCTAGGATTTTAACTACTTTGGGGTTCTTGAGATGATTGTTGCATGCTCAGAGAACTTGCAGACATAATTTTGTCCTCTGGAAGTACATTAAATACCCATAAAATATAGTGAAGTGTCTTGTGGAAGAATGTCTGCTATTCTGCAGCAAAATCTTAACCTGTTTATAAGTTGGTGGCATATGGCATTTTAAAAGCCATGTAAAGTTAAAGCTGCAGCTTAACTTGTAAATGCAAACTAAACATCTTATCCTTAGTCCAACGGATGTGTGTACACTACCCAAAAGATTCTGTAATTACCTTCTAGCACTGCTTCATTAATACAAACTATCAGCCTATCTGGTAAGTTTGATGTTGTGTTCTCTCTGCTCTACAAAAATAAAATCCAGTTCCTCCAGGTTTAAAGGAGGCAAAAAGGAAGAAAGTTATTTTTGCATATACCAGATCTAACTTGGAGATTCATAAACTTATGCTGCAATCATTGGTTTGTGTTTCACTAGTATACATATAATGTATTGCTTTTTATGACACATTTTTAAATGAAATCTAAGTTTTATCTTCTTGCTGTTGGTCAGCATTGTTGTCTTGATCATTTAAGAGCCATGTAAATTGGAGAGAATCTCCGCTGTGATCTGGCTAATATGGATACTGGATTGAGTTAATGTGGAATGGCATGAATGAGAAGTCTCGAGAGGTTTTATAATAATAGTCTCCATGTTAGAAAATGCAAACCATCAATGATAAAAAATATCCATACTATCTATCTGCCTCAAGGAAAAATCCATCTGAACTTTGCCCAGAGACAAACCTTAAGGAATATAAATTTGTATATGTTTACTGCAGCAACATTTGGATTTAGCAGTTTTACACAGAAAGATGCTGTCATCCTCCATGCCTGAAGCCTTTGATTTGAGCAATTATGACTCTGAAGGTGCTGACCTCCTCCTCCAAATGCCTGAGACTCTTATGGACTCCAGTGTATTGAGCATCTCCCTCCAGGATTTTGAGGCTCAGAAGGACTCCCTCACTGATGGCTGTGCCCAGGTCTTCAGGCACAGTGCCTGTTCAAATGGTGCCAAAAATCAAAGACTTAATGTTTATAAAAACTGTTGAATGATATTTGATGAGACAGTATAAAAAATTTTCTATCAGCTTTTACAGAAAAAAATTGGGACAGATGTATTTTCTCTTTTGTGCAAGGCAAAAGGAGTTTCTCCATAGATAAACTTTTTCCAACTATTTCTGTTTCCTGAGTATATATTTGTCTCATTCTCTGATCTTTCTCCAATGTTTCCAAAAAATAAGACCTTTTTCAGCACTGTAGTCAAGGACTTTACAGATATGTACCGGGGGAGGCAATATTAATTTCCTGAAAAAGTAGTTGTTTTTCAGAACATTCTCTGTTCTGAAATTTTAATACAAAACCTTTCTCCTAACTCCAACTTATTTCCATGGGAAGAATCATATATCATGAAAAATGCAGAGCAAAGTCCAATCTGCATACCCCCTGGGGCTAAGACTTTACCATATGCTCTTTCCTTATGCTCCTGATCCCTCTGGTTCTCAGGGAGAAAATGCTTTTCCAAAGACATCTGCAAGCATTTGTGAAAATAGAGGAGGAGCTTCCACAGTAAAGTGATTCCTATGGGAAACACAGATTTCTGCCTTTTTTAGATAAAAAGCCAACTTGTAACTGAGCAGCCACTGGTCCTACCACTGCCTGTCAGGTAAAAGGTTATCATATAATAACCATTTTGTTTCATTTGTTGACATTATTAGTCTAAGATATTTGTCAAGATTTGCAGCAAAACCTCTTCTCCGTGGATTAATTATCTTGGCCTCAGAGCCAGACAGAGCAGATGTCATTCACATGAATCATTGCACAGATTAAGATTTGGATTATTTCCCCTCTTTTCAGTGTTTTACAGATTAAATTCCTCACTTAGACATTAGCCCTTGCTACACTGCCATTTATTTCCACCATTCCTGAACATGTCACTATTGGCACGCCATGCTGTGTAAGAAGATGCCAGCCAAATTTGGGTAATGGTTTCTGAAGGCAGTGTCTATTATCAGTTTTGGGCTTTCTGTGGTGAGATAAGTCTGTGTAAATAATTTAGACTGACTGAGGAGTCTCCAATCATGTTTGCTCTGACACCTTATAGGAAAAGGGGGTAGAACCATCTGAGTTTAGGGAATCATGTTTTTCTCTGTTCATCTCTGCTTTTAACATGTTCTCTGCTCTCCTTTTCACCTTTGCAGTACAAGATGGCTTTGCTGTGTGTAACACATGGGGAGGCTCAGTAGCTAGCCATCCTAGAGTTCCCTAAATCACCCAGTTTCCCCTTAATGTTTTTATTTTCCTGAGCAACTTCTCTGCTATGCCATTAATACAACCTTGACAAAGTGTTGCCAAGTAAATCCCATTGTCTCACTACAGGCCTTTTATTTTGGTTCATCAACCTGTCCCACATATTTAAAAAATATTTTGATGCACGTTGACTGACAAAGACAGATTGAATATCATCCAGGCTAAATACCTTTTAGAAAAAAATAAAACCTGTATTTTCTTTCATTCCTCAGATCCGATTCTTTCTCACAGTTTTCAATACAGTGGATATAGAGTTGGCTAGATGGGAAGAAACAAAACAAGGTATGCAAAATGTGAAATGTCACAAACAGCATAAAACCATGTCCATGTGAGTGTGCATCAATATTGTTATTTTTTCAAATAAAACAAAGAGATCTTAAGAATATGCAACCAATTTGTGTTTATTTTCTAGGGGAAATAATCATGATTGTTACAGTCGCGGGTTTTGTGGGGGTGAAGGTGAAGACACAGCTTTTGTAGTTTCTATTCTGAGCAAAGTCCAAAGGTAAGTGGACTCAGCCAGATATGCCTGAGCTTTTGGCTGGCTGGGTCTTCTCTTTTAACTAGGCTGACTTTGCACAGAGCCACATTGTACTTTTCTGAATGCAGAGGGAAGGCACAGCAAACTCACTCTTGGTGGCAATTTCACTGCAGGGGATATTATCAAAGAACCAGAACATTAGCTCTGCTTACATTTGAGAAATGCACTTTATATATCTGTATGTATAGCATTCTTGACCCTCAGTCTTGGCTCCAAACTTTCCAAAGTGTCCAAAACATATACATAACAGATGTTTCTTTGTTTCACACCAGCCGCTGTAGACACAGCTGATAACTCTCCAGTGGACATGTTTATTGAAACTTCCAGGCAAAATATCTCAATCACCTGGTAAGCATTTTAATTTGGAATCTGCCTTTCTTCTGCACACGATGAAGTTTGCCTATTGCCTCACTCATTCCCACTGGGTTTTTTGTTTGTTTTTTCACCCCTGCCAACCTTGAACTGTGTTTTCATGGAGTTTTCATTTTTTCCCTGGATTGTGAAGCCCAGACATTTGAACAACTCTTTTTATTTTTTTCCTTTTCACCAAGTGAAATAACAAAAGGGGGAAATGGTGTCCACTTCTGAACAGATCTTTACCACAAATCTTAGGAGTTTGAAACTGATGATTTTCAATACAAGATCAAAAAGCCTTTGGTGTGATGAAGAAGAAGAATTTAACCACATCTTTCTGTAATTTTTCTTTTTTCTTAGACCTCTTTTGTTAACTGATTTATTGAAGTTGAAACTATGGTGGGTTAAAAGCAGTGTCTACTAATCTAAGAACTTTGGCAGACAAAGAATTTGCAGCTCTATTTGTGAAGTATATATTGCTATGTTTAGAGAACCCCATTCTAAACTCACACCTTAAATATCAGGATTACTTTTCTCTGAAGCAGCAGAGTACACAGCCAAAAGACAGGCACAGGCAAGCACAGTGAAAGACAGACATGCAGGGAGTTGCCACGGGTGCTTCCCCACTGCACCCACCCAGCTGGGGCATAGCATGGCACAAAGAGTCTTCTCACATTGAAATGACAAAGATGTTTAATTCCTCTATTTTCTCCAGGGAAAATTAGGAGAAATTACTTCCTTTCAGAGCTAGAAATGGCCATGTCACACTCTGAAACAATTAGACTCGCTGCTGAGTGTGCAAAATATTGATAGAACTCCTTTAGCTATTTCTCTTCTAATTGAGTTCATTATCATTCCAATTCCACTCCAGGTGTCACAAAAATAAGGCATGAGTAAACTCAGTAGGGAAATAGTGAATACACATGCATAATTCAGGCAAATTCCCCTCTCTTTAAAGTATGAGAGTATAAAATTTTAAGAAGTCACATACTAAACAAGATCAAATTAAGACTGGAAAACATCTTTTGTTGTTTTTTTTTTTTTAGACATCTTTCATTTTTCTCTTTTAGACATCCTGTCCCTATTTCATTAAAATATGCCTCTTGAAAGACTTCACTTTAAAGATAATATTTTTTTACATCTATTTTTTCAAATTCACTCAGCAAGAACGGGTTTCAGGTATCACTCTTTTTCCTACGTGAAATGGCTTTTCCAGCAGTCAAGAACCAGTTCCTACACAAGATAAACATTCTTTTACCTCCCAAAATAATTTGAAAAAGCTTGTACTAGAGAACCTGGGCTTGATTTCCCTTAAGCAGCGCCTTAATGAATGTTTAGAGCTCTTTTGCCCTCAGGCTTTGTCAAGTGTGCACACATTAACACAAATAAGTGCATCTGCACCCTACTGCAGTCCTGCACACAAACTAAAACATCCTCTGCTACGTTTTAAAGCTTCACCAATGTATTGAGACCAAAATGTAGCAGAATTTGTCATTATTCAGAGGGTGGAAGTTGAAAACTGGAATTCAATAGAGGAAGGCTGACATTTGAAAAAATGTTAAAGGTGGTGTTGGTGCTGTTGCAGTTTTCTGGAAGAGGAATGTGATAGTGCCATTTGTTCAGACATATGGCCTTTCTATGTTATTCTTTAAAATTAAGTGAAATATTTAAAAATCAATTCTTAAAATGGAGCTGTGGTATGGATGCCTTAGTTCAGGCATTCTCTCCTTGATTTGAGTGTGCAGAGTTCATGTGTACCCAGCTGTTCTTTCAAAGCAGCTCAGAGGAAAGACACCCTGTCCCCAGAGGTTGTAGCTATGCCATTTCCATCTGACTACTACACCTGAGATATTTTGTTCAACATAAAGTACAAGTGTCCTCGCTCAAGTGAGTAGTCCCAATGTTTGGCCTCAGTTTCACCTTGTCAAGAATGATTGATTGTCAAGGCCATATCAGATCTTGCATCCAAGATACTGATATCTAGGAAAAATCCCTAAATTATACATCCATTGAGAAGGTGTGAGAATAAACTGGTTCCCAACTCATTCTTAAAGTCTTCTTGAGGATATAGAGGGTGATTGGTGAGAGCAAGAACAGACAAAGATGTAATTTGCCTTTCTTATTTTAGTTACTTTAGAGTTCAAGAAATACATTTCTCTTGATAAGAATTTACTATGAGGAGGATTTTTTCTCTGCATATAAATACTTTTCTTTCAATGAAAGCTGAGCTCCACATGTTTTGTGTCTTAGTGGTTCTACAGCAAAGAATAGGACTAGTTGGAAAGAAAGATTGTTGAAGTTTTCAGCCTACTATTTGATAATCAGGCACCCTCCTGTTATGAAAGGAAGGCACTTTGCTGGTAGTTAAGGATTTAGCTGATGTTATTTCAGCCTTGGATGAAAACTTTCTAAAACTCTATTTACACCCCTCAAATACAGAGAGGTAACTAAACATATTTAGAGAAGGAACAGAAAAAGAAAGAAGCAAATTCTCTTTTCATTATTACTTTTTCATAGCTTCACTCCTTTACAGAACACAAATTCTGTCAAACATTATGCCTCACAAAAATAGGAATAAATTAATGATTCACTGAATTTTTCAAGGGAGAATTAAATATATCCAAACTTTTCTTTATGCAAAAAAAATTTTGGTGAGCTGTCTAACAGGTCCTGATCCCAAATAGGGGGGCATGTTAGGTAAGAGCTGAGCTGCGTGCCTGGAAAGGAGACAGAATGGAATAAAATAATGGTATGAAGCCACTCTTGATCCTTCTCAGTCCAATCTGTCTTGGATATGAGGACAAATGGTTTAGCTCTGTGATCTTGATCTGTCTGAACAACCAGCAGGCCATTTAAAAAAATACTTAACATTGAATCAGTTAATGTTTACATTGCAGAGTTTGTTATCGCTATGTTTAATGCTCCTCAAATATATGATACAATTATTTTGATATACCTGTCACCCATCTTAAAAGGTCTAAGGATAAGACCCAAAGGTTGACCATACACAGAGTTGTCCTGGATCTGTACTAACTAGAAATGTGTGTCTTGTCATCTCCATCCAAGCACTTTTAAATGTGATGTTCTTCTGAGTGGATGGTTTTTCACTGAGCTCCAAGAAGCGTCCATGTTCCCCTATCTGTAGGAGTCACACTGGTGCCAGCAGTATCCAGCTTCTATGAAAATACATTTTCTACACCCTGTGAACTATATTTGCATTCCTGTGAACACAAGAAATTGCCTCTGCAATTGTCTCTCAGAAAATACAGCTCTCTAGTCAAAACAGATGTGGTCCTTCCCCAGGTTTCACAGCATCTGTTTAGAAAACAGGTTCTGACTGTGTGGCTCTGTCTGTGAAAGGAAATGTGGTCACTTTGTAAGAAATGGAGCTGGAAACAGCTTGTGTTGCATGCAAGGTACTTCTCTCTGCGTGCACCCAGGAAAAGGAAGGCAGAACCCCATAAGCTACACCAAGGAGCTGTTTATTCAAAAGGCAACTAGAAAGCCTATAAATTCGTGGCTAACAAAACTGCAAATATCCTGCACATTTATTATAAGAGAAACCATTAAAAAAAAAAAGAAAAAAAAAAAAAAGTCAGTATCACCAAAACACATGCTGAAAAGGAGTCCAAGCCATCAGATAAATTGCAATTTTTGCCCTGTATTGGAGAGATTTTCCTCAAGGCTCAGTAATTCCTATAGTCAGCTCTGTTAGAAGGATGGCAAGGAAACAGGTGGGTTAAATGGGAGAAACCATCTCCATTCCCTACAAAGAAATTACACTCTTTCATAAAACCAGGGCTTTCTGGAAGGTCTGTGTATATTCATGTAGAAAGAAAGAACCAAACATAACTACTTGCAGTACTACCATGCATATAATTACAGTTGTGAAAATATGTGAAATGAGACAAAACATTTGCAGGGCTGTTTTCTTTAGAAGGACACTGCATAATAATAACCCTGCCAATCTAGAAAAGGGAAACTTCTGCTCTGAACATGGACATTGCTTTAAAGAAATTTTGTCTGTCCTGTCAAATGAAAAGACATTTAGATTTTTTTATGCTCTCTATCCTAGGTTAACACACAACATGAGGAGTAAAAGATGTGCTTGATTTTTTTTTCTGAAATATATTATTCATCTTTGCTTTATTAACTCTTTGTCTTTTAGTTCAGTAGTTTTCAATATCCTTCCAACATATGAATGCCAGAAATATTCCCAGTGGGAAGACAGACCAACTTCTTCAACACTGATTGTTATAAAGCATTTACAGATTTGCTTTCTTTTGTCACAATTCACTGACCCTTTAAAAGCAGACTCCAGTCCCCCACAGTTTTGCAGTCCACAGGCTGAGAACTCCTGCTCTAGACCTGTTCAGGTTTGATATGTTGTTGACATGTTTATCTGTCAATTATGTTTTTAAGCAGTTGCTGTTCAGAATTAGATCAATATGTGCCAGCACCTCATGATCTGGAGGAGAGGGGACACTTTGGATCATCCCTCAGCATGTCATGTCTGTGGGAGTTCTATTTCTCAGATCACACAAGCACACAGACATACACACATAAGCAGAGAAGACATCATGTTTTTAATCATGAGCAAATATCTGCTGCCTATTTACAAATTTACAAGCTGAATAAGCCATCAGTGTTAAGTGGGTTTTTGCAGAACAAGGAAGAAAGAGAATTTTTGGGGGACAGCAGGACTAAAGCTGCTTTTTAATGAGAACTCTCAGCCTCATCTGCAGTGACCTTCATGGCAGGCCTCCCACAGACTTCAGTCAGGCCAGGGTTTTGCTTTGAAAACTGTGTGCTGGAACATATCTCTTTGCTCAAAGAGTGTTTACAACTTGGAGGAAATGGAAGTTGCCTATTTAATGTAGAAGGCTTTAAAATCCCCAAGCATTTAATTTTCTAATGTTAATTTCCCCACCATAATACACCTCATTGTAGCCTCAGAACCACGGTTTAACCATGTG